AGGAATTGTTACCGAGGCGAGCATAGCGTGTTGAATATTCTATTGACATATTCATTATACCTACTAAGAGATACTAGATCAGTAAAAAAGATACTAACTTATGGCCTTACTTATTGTAGTTACATCTGTGTATAGTGTCAATGTGTGTAAAAAATATTTGCATTGCATACAGAATGCTTGCAAGGCCTTGGTTCGCTCTAATAGCCATGTCCTCCGCCAAGACCGTAGCTGACGTGAGGCTCCTACGCTCGGTCGGTAACGAGAGTTTTTTTATCCACTTATTTATGCTATGCATTGACGTGACTTTTTTATAATTGTACTAGTGATTTAATGACGTAAGACAAACGTTACAAAAGTTAAGCACTTACTCGATTGAAATGATTCTAGAATTCTACGATATGCGATGGTGCACTGTGGGGAAACGACCCGATTGGCGTTTGTAGCGTGCAGGAACAGGTTCTGCACGGATCACATGTGGACAGGTCGATGACCTCGAGGACGATAATCTAAGAAGCCCACTTGCCACCAGCTTTGCCGCTTATTTGGGCCATAAGATAAAACGCAATGTAGTCCATCAAAGACGTCTTAAATCTTGCGTCATGATCATTCACTTCAAAACTGCAATTCATATTATTACGTTATTATTGTACTCTGAAAATGAAAACTAGTCGTTTCTAATTATTTGTTTTAAATATAATAAGCTTTACGTTGTAAAAATGGAAGAAAGAAGGGGCTTTCAACAAGGAGCCATACATTGGTAACGAGTAATAGAACACTTGGCAACGGGCAATGTTACAATTCAGCGAGGCGACACAAAGTCTGGGCCATACCATTGTTCTGTTGCACCAATAATAGCCTCCTAGTAACAGCCAACGCTTACGTAGGCGCTTCATGCTTCTAGTTTTTTCGTTGTTTCCCAAAAGCATTCAAGAACACCTTAACTCTAAGTACATATACATGTACTTACAGCAGAGACTTATTTTTCTTTGTACATTTTTCTTTGTTAGGTATATGACCCTCAGTTAAGCTTGAGTTGGACGCAGAATAAATTATTGTATGTATTCCGGAGACTAAATAAATGTACTCCCTGAAGTAGTAAAGGTTTAATAATAATTCGATCTAGGTATTTTTCCAGAGACAAAGGACTTTGTCGCGTGCTTTATTTCAAGTTCGATGTTTCAATGACTTTTATAATGAGAAAAATGTATAGATAAACTTTCCTTATAGATGACGATAATTCATGTGACCGCTTAACTGTAAGAGAATCTTAGAAATTTAGGTTTTAGGTACTTTAGGTTAAAACATGTTTAATTTCTAAGATTTTGAGTTAGGGGTGTTTTCCTGCAATCAGTGTGCAAAACTGATGTTACGTAATAGCCCTAAAAATATGTAAGAGTAGAATGTGCGCGATGAGTCGCCAGTCCGCCCACTACAAACATTTTGCCGCCAACAATATGTACACAAGGTTATAAACGTAGCGTGGGTAAAGCAAGCTAATACAATGCACGACACTTTGAACAGAACTCCTATTTATATATAACAGTTAATATTAGAGTTGGACATATTTAGTAACACTAAACTTGACATCTCTAAATAATTTCGATAGGGCCAGTTTGTATACCTTAAATAAATTGACGATTTCAAATTCAGAATTTAGTCCTCATAAATCCTATACAGAATAAATAGTCCATTAATTAAATTTAATTGATAATAACATTATTTTTTCTCATATTTAGGAAAATAATTCCTTGAAAATTTAACAGAATTTAAATAATTATAAATATATTAAGCATAGATACTCCATGGCCGTTAAGAAACCGGTATTTTAGTTTGACACTAAATATTATTAAATCACCATTTAAACATAAGGAATTTCGTTCTAAAATTTATGATTGTCACAAGTAATGTATGTACTCGTAAGTATTGTGAATATGTACCTACTTGTGATCGTTCCTTAAATACTAATAATATTCCTCTGGCGTGTAGATATGCAGTGCCCATAAATATAACGTGATGTAATTATTTGTTACATCTACAAATAGTCATCATCGTAGAGTTAAATTAAAAACAAAGATTCAATTGTTTTCCGTGCCACTCTGCTGTGTGGACGTGGAATCAAAACAATCCGCTTTTCTGTGTCGTAACATGATCTAACGAATGCTATTCTCAAAATATCTCCTGTTTTTATGACACAATCTTTGAAATATACTTATAATACGTTGTGGTCTATACTACTCTATACAGTGGTAGGTACCTAATTTCCAATAATATAATAAAAAAAGTCATCTAACTAGATAGACATTAAAACCGAGATTCATATAAATCATTTGAATTTAATTACGCATTAAAAGTCCAAAGCCTCACTAGGCTGGCGGATTACTGCTCTTACGGCGCATTACTGTTCTTTTTTTTTAGTTGTTGCTTCCGCAGTCCAAAGTGCAATCACTGCAAGAATCTGCGCCTAAACATCATTTCTTTGTTCTATGGAATTGCGAATAGTTGGTTTTGTTGTAGTTAAACATCTTTAAGCAAAGAGAAATAATATTGTAAATCGATGCATTAAGACGCGCATTCTAACCAACTGATATAAATTTATCTCACCAGCTAATCTAGAAGAATAGGTAATAACTAGAATCATCATATAAGTCATAACTACCTGTAATGAAATATCGAATGCGGTCGTACTCACTCACGCAGTCATAAACATTTATATGTCAATTTTACAATGGTGTTGCATAACTGCCGCCGCAGAGCGCTACGCGCTGCGCCGCGCCTTGACATTGTACGACACAGTGAACTGTGCACGTGGATCGTAAATTATATTATATACTGCATATACGATTGGAACAACCTCAAGCCTCTATCCAATGTGCAACAGTGTACCTATTATGGCGAACTTATGTTACATTTAAACCTATACATGTATAGTACATCGCGATGAGTAGTTGGCGATGGACAAAAAATATTTTTCCACATTTTACAATTGTAATGTAAGTATGTATTACATATAAAGACGTCATTCAATGGGTAAAATTATAAAAATGATCCTTCGAAAGGGAATTGTACCTTAAGCATATACTGGCACTAGGGTTTTTCATCATAACAGAAGACGATAATTTCACTACGTGTTAATCATCATGTTGAATCATTACAGTAGTAGTAATTACAGTAGTATGTTGCACACAACAGTGACAGTTGTACTACAATTTCAATTTGACGATGTTGTTATTGCTCTTGTATATTTCTATGCCTGAAAATTTACTACCAGGCATTAAAAACTCTAGGCGTAACACGTGCCACAAGTACGTAGGTACTTGTGGCACGTGTAGATGTAGCTAGTAGATGTAGATGTAGCTACCTATTAATTGTATTGTATTAATATATATAGTGCAATGACATGTTATCTACAATATGGCTTGGAATAAGTTATTATAATAGGTAGTAGTTATCGCTTTATTCCGAGTCGGTAGTTGGGTGCAGGTGCTAATCACTTTTATCTTTATTATTTAAAATGTCAAAATATATGCGATGACGTAAGGCATATAATACTTGAACTGTCAGTAATGTACTGTTGTCACGAGTACTTAACGAGGTCTTTTTATTAAGTAGTGTATGACCATAGGCCATAGCTGTATTGTCTATGACTTCGAAATCACTAAATAAATGTTTCGAAACCAAGATGGTTTCAACACCACGTATGGCGTAGAGGTTTAGTGGTTTATGTTTGTGAATTCCCCCGCGACACAGGATATATTCCTAGCGCGGGACGTGTCTTTAAAAAAAACCTACACAATTTACTGCTCACTATTACCCGCTACTAGTACCGGATATCCTTACTTGGCACTAAGCAAAAGGCCATTGACGTGATAATGGTTATTAAGAGTGTTTTATTATCAAACACTTTTTTAGTGAAAGTAGTTGACCACTGAGAAGCCATTTTATTCAAAGCTCAATGCCACTCAACCAACTATCAATAGGCATCTAAACAATTTCTGTTTTAATCGCTTAAACAAAGAAAATACATTTGTCATGTGTCTTATGATCATTGTTCCTAAGACAGGACTTAAGTGCATCTGTGCAGGTTGACTCACCGGTAAATTGTGCGTCATAAGTCCACAACTCACAAGGGATGTCAGTAAATGTTGATTTGAAATCATTCGTGTTATAAACAAAACAACAATTATTTATTACAGATATCTATTTATCAGTTTAGACTTTAATTAAGTCCAAATCAATTAATTACAATCAGGACGTTCAAAATGTTTCTAAATTACCGTATAAGTAAAAGTAACTATTTATCGTCGCAACTGTTCCTTTGTGTAGTAAATGTGCAGGAGTTACAAATTATTGCCTAGAAGATTTTATGAAATACATACATAAAAGTATAGTATATCTGCAGTCTTTGTAATACGAAAGCGACCACGAAGTATGTCACGGTCTAATTGAACTCGCCCTGGTGACTGGGCACGTTCCACACGACATATCTCTGTAATTTTGGCTCCGTTAACGTAGCTCGATTTCAATTTGAGTTTTAGATTATCAATTGAAAATGTGTTATAGCTGGCCAAAAAAATTCCAAAGAGTATAAGATTCAATTCAATGATTTTTTCAATGATTTTCAGAAAGATTCAATTTAATGTTTACATTTTACGGTACGACTCAATATACTCATAGTTAATGATATCTAATTATTTCAGCATCTTAATTATTTCCAAAGGACAACTAATTAAGATCAACTAATAAAGTGTAATTGTTGTTTTATAAAGTTTACTATGTCTGTCGCTCTGTTAAATTGTTAGATTTAATACAAAGTACAAGGAATCTTTAATTTTTAGAGACCTTGAATAATACTGATAGTTATCAAATTCTATTGAAGTGAATCTTTTTAACTTAATGTCTACGCAGGCCGAAACACTGTGATAAACTAATAATTATATAAAAGAGTATTTATGAAGCTAATGCGTAATACACCTGTATCTCAATAAGTAACTAAAACTTACCCTTTTCTTACGAGGGTGGATGTCCTCGTAGTCCATAGCAATGCCTTCGTCGCTGAACGAAGATGAAGCCGGGGGCGGCGATGGTGTGCCAGAACGCCATGATGAGCCTGAGCTGCTACTGGCACCCGGCGATACCGATGATCTGCTGCCCCATGCGCCTGGTTATAAATAATCTATTGATTATAAGGTAAAAAACCTTATAAAGTTGTATGTTAACAGAGAATTTTATGAGTTTTATGTTCACGTTATGTTTTTTTTGGTATTGTTAGTAATAAATAATGAGCAGTTTGTAGTTTCCGAAAACTAATTTGTGATCGACAACCGTGCAGCCGTGTGTAAAATTCAATTATGTTGGTAGTAAAGAGTAACATTGGTTACTTGATAAAATAAAATGTCTTAATTGCAAAACAGATCTTTGAACAGCCACTTTCACTCACAAGAACGGCTATATTCTTGCGGCAAACATGCACCGGCGCGTTAGAACAGTCGCTTAGGCTGTTCTCTAGAGCAATCGTTAAGTTTTATTGGTGGCGTAAAACGTCTTGCTTCTCCGCATAGATGTTGCGTAAGTTGTCCCGAGAAGCGGTTCAATGCAGTGTTAGTGAGCAGATATGCATCTAAATTAAAGCTATAAACGTAATTAACTTATGTTGAATTACTTTATTTCAATTATAACTGTGATGCAACATTCATTTTATTTCGCCACTGTATATTTCTTGAAAATACAGCTTTTATTAGCAGCCCTCTGTACTCATGATCATACCCATAGCACCGAAGCTGCGGGAGACTTCCATAAAGAGTGCAATTGTTTAAATAAGGCGTTGCTTCAAATAATATGCTAGTCGAACAAGAGTAGTCGGAGCTCATCATGACGCTGTTACACCAAATACCTGTCTAGACTGTGTCTAGACAACAGTCTAGACGCCATCTACGTTTTACGGATTTAATAGTGAATATGACCCCTCCCTTAAATAAAATGATATTAAAATAATTAATTGTTTCTTCAAAGTAAGCACATTGTGTTTGAATTAATTAATATTACAAGCCATCGTTACGTTTTCCTAAAGTGCATAATTTAGTATTTAGCAATAATGTATTGTATAGTGTCGTGGTGTGTTAGATATGTAGGTAAGTTCTATTTCGTAAATATCGGACATTTGTAGTGAAAAGCTTGCAATTGCATTTTCACCACGAGCGTAAGGTAACAGCGCAATGACGTTATAATACATGCAGAACTGACGAACTACCGATGCTGGATCAGCGTCGACGAATCAGCCTTGGAAGCATCCGTGTGTGATGTAGTCGTGTTGAGCGACTTACTGGGACGCGGCGAGTTGGGCGAGCAGCTGAGTGACATGAGAACGAGGGCAGCGTTGCACTCATTCATCTGGTCGTCACGCTCCCCGTAGCCCAGGTCGCAGGAGCTGCTAGGGCCACGTTTACGCGAACTGAAACAATATATAACACAGAACGTTAATTCACCTATTAAAAAAATTACTTACGACCTAATTTAAATATTTGCATCTAATGAACTACTAGTTCAAAATACTCAGGCAATTAAGGCTCTATGGTTCAGTTAACTGAGTATTAAACTGAATAACAGATATATTAGTGGACTGAAGAATCATAAAATCAGAGTACGATAAGTAACAATAAGGATGTCTTTCAGAAATAAGCAGCCCGAAGGCGGAGTACCTTTACGCCATAAAAGAACGCATTCCTAATCTTTGTATTATAAGGTTTCCCATAGACTGTTTTTATCCTTAGGACCTTTATATTTCTGCATAGTCTATACCATAATTCTTAGGAGTTCTATACCCACGTATACTTACAATTCAATCTTTAAAGTTAAAACGTGCCAAATCAGTCTATACTGATTGCAAATTGATTCTTTATGTTATTTGCTGAAATAGAATGAAAGAAGTAAATATTTCCCGGCACGCCTGATTTTCTCAGAAAAATCGATTTCAAACTTCATAAGTCTCAGTCTCAGTAGTTGTACAATAGCAAATAACCAACTAAATTTAGGGAAAGAAAAAACGTATATATATTATCGTAATCTTTGTTAGAGTATCTATCAAAGATACTATTTGTCTGTATAGGTTTTTAAGTAAAAGAATCCTGTGTAAGTAGTCCTTTATAAGAAAGCTTATCCAATCTAGAAACTTAAGATTTATTGTAGAATATGTACTTTAAGATATAAATTCAAACATAACAGGGGTGCAGAAAGTTAACGTTGATGAATATGTGTAATAAATGCAAAATTAAATAATGCATGTCTAGCATATAAGTTTCGCTGACAGCTGCCTTTACAGAATATCTAAATATGAAAGTTTACCTTTACCGGTCACCAATATAAAATAAAAGAAGTTAATTATTTATGGTAGAAATTCGACTACCAGGTTATCTCTAGTTTAAATCATTATTAACTGTATCAGTTCTAGATGAAAACTATTATAGGGTTTGATTCAGAATTATCCCATAATTTTATTGTATTGTCAATTTTTTTTGAACTTTGGCTTGAAAGGCGATTCGAAGTTGCCAAACAAGGCTAACGTCATTGAACAATCAACAAGTCTAGACTAGATTATTGAACTTTCCAGCGAGATTTCGGCGTGAAGTGTTCGAGGTCGCGGGGATGCGTAGGGTGGGCGCTTGTTGCGCAACCGGCGGCGACCCACAAACGGTAGACATTTGGACAAGTCACATAAGGACGAAGGCTTTTGCTCTGACCCTGCCACCTTCAACAGGAGGTTCGTTAAACTAGTGTTCGTTAATGGAATGAATGCCCGCGACCGACAACCCCAGCATGTTAACTTTTTACGTCTAGGTTTTAACAAGTCTCAAGTTATTGTAAATATTCTTAGTATGCATACACATTAATATAATATTCAAAATGCTCTGATGACCATGAAAAATCAAGTAATACTCACTTTGCTGAATTCGAGTACAAGTACTTTGTAAAACGAAAAGAAAGTAATATTTAACCTCTCTTCTCAACTAAGGACACTTTCGCAAAAAAACTCATTTTTGTTAATAGATAGATTAAAATAATGACTTCAATAGAAGTTACGTTTTTCAACAGAGAACAATGGAAGCGTGTATAAACAAAAAATGACAAAATAAATGTTTATATCACTTGTTCACTATTATCACGAAATGACGTAGCTCTGACCTGTTTTATTTGTAAACTCTGTGTCGTCAGTAAGTACATTTACATTTTAATTGTACAGTAATAAATTATTCATTTTCAACATTTAAATTAAGGAAACGACGATTATGGAAAAACCACGAGGATTTATCAACTGTGATTGCTCTACGAGACTTTACAATAATGTCAGAAGAAATATGGAGGCACAGATATGTTGAATAAGACATTACAAAAATTGAGAGAAAAGAAGATGAAACTACAAATTGACAGTTAATTTGCATATTTTATTTGATGGGAGATGTCGTCGTAGTCCCCAACTAAACCACAAAAGGCTGTATGCTACAGGTAATTGATCTTAGATTGAACTTGAGACGGGTTCAATTCGGGCTTTCGCTGCGTCCTTGGGGTGGCGGCGGGGCGCCCCGACCGGCAGCGTTCACTCAAGATCAGCGACCGGGGCGTCACATAGTCTTAATAAAATTGTTTATTAAATACCATTTAAATTACGTCTGGGATTTGCGTTTCCACAAATGAAATACGCTAAAATTCGTTCAATTGATCCGCCGCGCCGCGGCTAAGAAACGAAGGTCGCAAGTAGAGATTTTTTTAATGTTGGCTAATTACCAAAATAATTAAATACGTGTTGAATTGTTTTTGTACAAATACGTTAACATGATCGTGACGGAGTAATCTTCAAAATAAAAATAAATACTTGTCTCGCATGACCTAGGAATGCTTATCGAGTATGCAACCTAGAAACAAGGTATATTCACCCCGTGTCAGTGCGACCTTTCAGTAGGTTCGTTATCCGATTCGAAATAGATAGTAATTTTTCGTTCTGTGTGCATTGTGGGTCGTTTTAACATTACTTACACAAAACAGTGTTTGTTAACAGGTCAATCTAACTACAACTAATTGAGACTACAAAAAGCAGTACCTACAGTAAAATAGAACGACCATTAGAATGCTAGTTGAAATCAATACATTCTAAGTATTCAGGCATGATCTACAGCGGACGGGTTGAGAGGGGTCTATGAGATCGTAATTATCCAGGACGCGGGTAATCACAATGAAGTAACGAAGGTGACTTTGTGTTTTTCGTTAAAGTTAATAGGAATGTTTACCTGCTGTCTTTTTTTGTATGACGCGATTTCCGTTGATGACGTAACGATATAGCTACATCGCGGTTGCGCATCGCATTTACTCATGACGAATTGGTAATTTGAATGTAGTCAGTCAGGGTTTGTAGCTTTCACAATCGCACACAATGAAAGGCGTCATTATGATGTCGACGTCATAGATGTTTAAAACCTCGGTCAAGTGGTAATGTCGTTGACAATAGAAGAAATCATTTGTTTTATTTCGCTACGGTCGGTGTCCGGGTGGGTTGCGGTTGTCACAGCTGTGCATATATGTATTCAGTACCTATACGTTGCGTGGTAGTATACTCGTAGTACAAATGTAACATTGAAAACGACCTTGCGCCTGTTGCCGACTACCGTAATATTGGTTCAACGCTGATAGCGAAAATGTCGTTTATTACTTACTCTCACCGTTATTAAAAGACCCAATAAAAAAAACTGTATACAAGGATATTACTTATCTCAACAACTGTTTTATTTTAATAAAAACAAGTGTGTTACCATCAATGGTGAACTACATAAAAATTCATTATGTTGTAACTATTAAACTGTCAGCTAAACACCCTTTACCAATTCCTGACACAATTCCATGATAATTATATCCTTAGTTACTCTTAAAATGACCCGGCAGTGGGTTTAGTTTAAAATTGATAGCTGACGCTAAAATATGTCATTATTAAAAGTTAGAAAATTATAATGACAAGTCAATCACAGGGCGCTGTTTAGCTCAGCATATACGGCCTCCTTGATAGTTAGAGTGAGTTACGTCATTAAAACATGGAGTGCCTAATACAAATGTGCACATATTTAGTATATCGCCACTTGCCATTCTTATATAACGTGAGGTGATATTATAATAACAATTCATTTCCTACTCGTGTAGTCAATGTCGTATGATAATGATTGGCCGATTTGAAAAATAAACTAAAGGCCTTCAGCTTGCTCATTGTATGAAGTTCGCTCAGAGTTAATGCGTTTTTTTGTCATGTTGATGTAGGTCGGGTGCGCTTTTTTAGTTCCATAAAAACTTAGATCCTTTGTTAGTATTTGAATCGTAAATCTGACGTTTAGGCCGGAGCCGGCTCTTTGACAATCGCTATGTATTATAGCATAATCTACATAATTGGACTTACTGATATGTATGTTATCTTTATCAATTCAGTATTTTACAGTATTACTGAACAAAAATTATAGATAGATGGATAAATGGGAAACATACGTTACATTGCATTACTAATATTTTATAAAAAGAATACATCATAATTATCTGATCATTTTTTATATATTTAATCACTATTCTGTAGAATAAGGGCCCAATTTGTAGTAACTTTTATCTATCATGTTGATAGACATTTTGAATCGTGTCCTAAGAAACTATTCTAATAGCTGATAAAGCAAATTTCATTACTTTGCCACAGATATTGGAGAAGAACAAAAAGAACTGTTTTCGTCCCAGACGAGAAGTGTAATAACCTGCAGGTAGGTCGACGGAAAGTCAACACAGAGGTGAATATTTCAGATGACTAATCATGTTCCTTGTGTATGTAATATGAGTTTAGTTACACTTAATCCTTTGTTTGATTTTAAACAGACCTCTGAAATGTTATTCTTTACCTTTCTAAATTGTTTCTCATAAGCCATGCAACCAACAGTCTAATTATCTATTAAGTAGGTTGCATAATAGTGAATAATTTTTGTAACACTTTCCCAAGGTAGTGCGGCATAACTGCACCTGCCGAAGAGATAACAGGCCTCCACAACACCAACGAAAGCAAACGTGGTACCTACCCAATGAGAAAGTGCCGCCACAGCTCTGCCCCACCATGTCGCGCGCGCCTTCTCTTTATATGTTGCGCAAACCTATGCGGAATGTAAGTTAATGTCTTCTAACTCTGTTGGTACTGATAAATAATATGCGTTCTGCGCAGAATGTAACAGGTGAAATCGTTCAAGTCCTTAAAAAACCCCTGTAAACATATGTCATGTATTAAGAATTCTGGGACGCCATCTCCACTTTATAAATTATATTTTACTGTGTCATTTTCATGCAACAGTTCGTAACCAATAATAGATTACCATTTTAGACTTTGAAAGTGTATTGTAAATTTCGAATGGCTAACAACTTTGTCACAGAATTCATATCAGAGTTCTATGT